GGGGGGGGGGGGGGGGGGGGGCCGGGTTTGGGGTCCCCTGTGTTGGGATAGGGGTCCCCACGTTCCAGGGTCCATTTTTATTGGGGGGGGGGGGCAGCGTTGGGGTCTTTTAGGGCCCACAGGTTCATAGAGGCTGTGGTGGGTGTCTGGGACCCCCATGGCATCGGGGGGTGCCCTGGGGGGTGCCAGGGATGGTAGAGGCCCATTTGGGGGTGATGGGGTGTTTTTGGGGGGCTTTAGGGTTTCTTGGGTGCCGAGGGGTGCCCGGGTTCCTCTTGGGATGCTGAGGGGTCTCAGGTTCCTTTTGGGGCGCTGGGGGGGGTTTTGGGTTCCTTTTGGGGTACCTGGATTCCCCTCGGAGGGATCAAGAGCTCTTGGGTCTCTTTTGGGGTCACAGCGGGGCTGGGTCCCCTTTGGGGTCCCGGTGCTGCCCAGATGCCTTTTGGGGATCCCTCTGGGTGCTGCTGGGTGCCTGGGTCTTGTTGGTCCCATTATTCTGGTGGTCCCAGGGCGATCCCATAGTCCTGGTAGTCCTGTGGCACTGGTGGTCCCGTTCTTCTGCTGGTCCTGAGCTCCTGGTGGTCCCATTGTTCTTGTAGTTCTGGGCTCCTGGTGGTCCCGAGGTGCTGACCCTCCCTAGATCCCTTTTGGGGGATGATGGGTCTTGGTGGTCCCATAGTTCTGGTAGTGCCGTGGTGCTCCTGGTGGTCCCGTTATTTTAGTGGTCCTGGGGTGCTGATGGGTGCCCGAGTCCTGTGTTCCCGGGTTCCTGATGGTCCTTGGTGGATCTTGGTGGTCCCAGGATGCTGACCCTGCTCAGGTCCCTTTTGGGAGGTGATGGGTCTTGGTGATCCCATACTCCTGGTAGTCCCATACTCCTGGTGGTCCCATACTCCTGGTGGTCCCATAATCCTGGTGATCCCATGGTCCTGGTGGTCCCGGGGTGCTGATGGGTGCCTGAATCCCACGTTCCCGGTGTTCCTGGGTTCCTGACTCCCACATTCCCAGTGTTCCTGGTGTTCCTGGGCTCTTGGTGGTCCCAGGATGCTGACCCTGCTCAGGTCCCTTTTGGGGGGTGATAGGTGTTGGTGGTCCCATAGTCCTGGTGATCCCATAGTCCTGGTGGTCCCAGTGTTCTGATGGATGCCTGAATCCCACGTTCCTGGTGTTCCTGGGTTCCTGGTGTTCCCGGGCTCTTGGTGGTCCCGGGATGCTGACCCTGCTCAGGTCCCTTTTGGGGGGTGATGGGTCTTGGTGATCCCATAGTCCTGGTGGTCCCATAGTCCTGGTGATCCCATAGTCCTGGTGATCCCATAGTCTTGGTAGTCCCATAGTCCTGGTGATCCCATACTCCTGATGATCCCATAGTCCTGGTGGTCCCATGATCCTGGTGATCCCATAGTCCTGGTGGTCCCATAGTCCTGGTGGTCCCGGGGTGCTGATGGGTGCCCGAATCCCATGTTCCCAGTGTTCCTGGGTGCCTGAATCCCACATTCCCGGTGTTCCTGGGTTCCTGGTGCTCCTGGGCTGTTGATGGTCCCGGGATGCTGACCCTGCTCTGGTCCCCTTTGGGGGGTGATGGGTCCCAGTGGTCCCATGGTCCTGGTGATCCCATAGTCCTGGTGATCTCATAGTCCTCGTGATCCCATAGTCTTGGTGATCCCATAGTCTTGGTGATCCCATAGTCCTGGTGATCCCATAGTCCTGGTGATCCCATAGTCCTGGTGGTCCCATAGTCTTGGTGATCCCATAATCCTGGTGATCCCATAGTCCTGGTGGTCCTGGGTGCCTGAATCCCACATTCCCAGTGTTCCTGGGTTCCTGCCCCTGCTCAGGTCCCTTTTAGGGGGTGATGGGTCTTGGTGGTCCCATAGTCCTGTTGATCCCATAGCCCTGGTGATCCCATAGTCCTGGTGGTCCCATAGTCCTGGTAGTCCCAGGGTGCTGATGGGTACCTGAATCCCACGTTCCTGGTGTTCCTGTGTTCCTGGTGTTCCCAGGCTCTTGGTGTTCCTGGGCTCTTGGTGTTCCTGGGCTCTTGGTGTTCCTGGGCTCTTGGTGGTCCCGGGCTCTTGGTGGTCCCGGGCTCTTGGTGGTCCCGGGATGCTGACCCTGCTCAGGTCCCTTTGTGGAGGTGATGGGTCTTGGTGGTCCCATAGTCCTGGTGATCCCATAGTCCTGGTGGTCCCATAGTCCTGGTGGTCCTGGGTGCCTGAATCCCACATTCCCAGTGTTCCTGGGTTCCTGGCCCTGCTCAGGTCCCTTTTAGGGGGTGATAGGTGTTGGTAGTCCCATAGTCCTGGTGATCCCATAGTCCTGCTGATCCCATAGTCCTGGTGTTCCTGGGTACCCGAATCCCCCATTCCCAGTATTCCTGTGTTCCCGGTGCTCCCGGTGATCCGATGATCCCACCCCAGTGACCCCCCGTGTCCCCGCAGCCGTGAGGATGGCGGAGAACGACGTGGACAACGAGCTGCTGGACTATGAGGACGACGAGGTGGAGAACGCGGCGGGGGCCGACGGCGCCGAGGCCCCCCCCAAGAAGGACGTCAAGGGCTCCTACGTGTCCATCCACAGCTCGGGATTCCGGGATTTCCTGCTCAAACCGGAGCTGCTCCGAGCCATCGTCGACTGCGGCTTCGAGCACCCCTCCGAAGGTGGGGCAGCCCCGCCAGTTTGGTTCATTTGTGACCTATTTTAGTTCATTTAGGACTTATTTTATTTTATTTATTTCGTTTATAACTTATTTTATTTTATTTATTTCATTTAGAACTTATTTTATTTTATTTATTTCATTTATAACTTATTTATTTAATTTATGACTTATTTTATTTATTTAATTTATGACTTATTTTATTTTATTTATTTCATTTATAACTTTTTGTATTTTATTTATTTAACTTATGACTTATTTTATTTATTTCACTTATAACTTATTTTAGTTCATTTATAACTTCTTTCGTTTATTTATTTTATAACTTATTTTAGTCCACTTACAACTTATTTCATTTACGACTTATTTTATTTCATTTATAATTTATTTCGTTTATAGTTTATTTCACTTATAATTTATTTCATTTATTACTTATTTCATTTATTACTTATTTTATTTCATTTATAACTTATTTCATTTATATTTTATTTTATTCCATTTATAACTTGTTTTATATCATTTATGACTTATTTTAGTTCATTTAGGACTTATTTTATTTTATTTATTTCATTTATAACTTATTTTATTTATGACTTATTTTATTTAATTTATGACTTAGTTTGTTTTATTTATTTCATTTATAACTTATTTTATTTCATTTATGACTTATTTCATTTATGACTTATTTTATTTATAACCTAATTCATTTATAACCTATTTTATTTTATTTAATTTGTAACTTATTTTATTTAATTTATAGCTTATTTTATTTCATTTATGACTTATTTAATTTATAACTTTCTATTTTATTTCATTTATGACTTATTTTTTTTTTATTTCATTTATAACTTATTTCATTTATAACTTATTTCATTTTTAACTCAACGGGGAATTTAATTTGATTTTTTCAATTCCACAAGGAATGTAATTTGATATTTTCCAATGCTGTGCCCGCAGTGCAGCACGAGTGCATCCCCCAGGCCATCCTGGGCATGGACGTGCTGTGCCAGGCCAAGTCGGGCATGGGCAAGACGGCCGTGTTTGTGCTGGCAACCCTGCAGCAGCTGGAACCTGTCACGGGGCAGGTGAGGGCATTTGGGGGTCCCAAAGGGGGTTTGGGGGGTCCCAGGATGTCCCAGGGCAACCCTGCAGCAGCTGGAACCTGTCACGGGGCAGGTGAGGGCATTTGGGGGTCCCAAAGGGGGTTTGGGGGGTCCCAGGATGTCCCAGGGCAACCCTGCAGCAGCTGGAACCTGTCACGGGGCAGGTGAGGGGATCTGGGGGTCCCAGGGGGGATTTGGGGGTCCCAAAGGGGGTTCAGGGGG